AGCCGCTTAACCAACTGAGCCACCCAGGCGCCCCACGTGTCTCCATTTTAATCCATAGAAGAGGAATTAGAGTCCAACTGGTTCCCAGTAATAAGGATGGACACAGACTATACTTTTAAAATTATTGGCAGCCTCTCAGTGTCTGTGACTTTGAATTATTGTTGCTGTGAGAGTTACAGGCATCCAGACAAAGGCCTTTCCAGAAGGCAGGGGCCCTGTTAGCGGATGAACCCATGGCTGGCTCCCTCCGGTTCCCCAGACTTTCCGGGGCAGGGAGGAGCATCATGAAGACTTCCACACAGCTCTTTCCTGGGAGAGGCTAGCGGGCTCTTCTGCTTGCTTTCACCAGAGGTGGGTTCAGGCCACACTCTGCTGGTAACGAGCTGTGACACTCTGAACAAGTGACTTTATCTCTCTCAACACCAGTTTTCTCCTCCACTCTCAAACGCAGAAAGCATATGTAGAGGAGAAGTTGTGAGGAAGAAGTGAGACTTCTGCTTGTGCATGAAGCTCACTGCTGGCCCCTAGAAAATGTTTCATAAACAGTAGCTGGGCAATAGATGGAGTATATTCAAAGCCACGGCCTACCTCCAGCCCGGGCCGATGGTAACACGAGTGAAGATTGGGCTCTTTCCTCCTTCTTGAGAAATGAGAGAACTTTCTCTGAGGTCTGTGCTGGTGGATGAAGAGGTTCCCGGTGTCCCTGGAGAGGGTTGGGTAAACAGCCCGGTGGTGGAGACTGGCCAGAGACGTAGGGGACACGCAGCCAGGCTTGGAAATCACAAAACAGGGTGACCAGATCTGTGTAGACCTGACTCCCCCCACCATCATCTCCTGAATGGGGTCATTCATTAAGTCCTCCCACCATCATCTCCTGAATGGGGTCATTCATTAAGTCCTGTCTCTTCCTCCTCTTTCAAAACATCGCTTGTGTTTTCTTTTGCTCACAGGTCTTGCTTTGGCCCAAGCCCTCATCTCTTGCCTGAGTTATCGTCAAAGTCTTTCCCCACGATGGAATATCATTGGACCATCAAAAGAATGAGATCTTGTCATTTGTGACAACATGGACAGGCCTAGGGGGCACTGCACTGAGTGAAATAAGTCAGAGGGAGAAAGACAAATAGCATGTGGAATCGGAAAAACAAAAATGAACAAACAAACAAAAAAAGAAGAAACAGACCCATAGATACAGAGAACAAACTGGTGGTGGTTTGAGGGGGGAGGGGATGGGCAAAATGAGTGAAGGGGAGTGGGAGGAACGGGCTTCCAGGTCTGGAATGAATGAGTCCTGGGGACAAAAGGGATGGCACAGGGAATATAGTCACTGGTAATGTAATAGTGTTGGGTGGTGACAGATGGTGGCTACGCTTGTGGTGAGCACAGCATCATGTTGAGACTAGTTGAATCACCGTTGCACACCTGAAACTAATGTAACATTGTGTGTCAACCATACTTCAGTAAAAAAGTCTTTCCCCACCCTGGCTTACATGTAATCTATAAAAAATTCAAAGTAACTTCAATTGCCTTTTATTATAAAAGATTCATTACAGAAAGGTAGGAGAATAAAGAGAAGTTAAAAGGAAAAATGCAAATAATCTCTCCACTTAGAGATAACGATATCTGTGATTTTTTTTCTACACATGCATAGATATATTTTCTTTTTTTCCTTTTTTTAATTTAAATTCAATTAATTAACATATAATGTATTATTGGTTTCAGAGGTAGAGATCAGTGATTCATCAGTTGCATATAACACCCAGTGCTCATTACATCACGTGCCCTCTTTAATGCCCATCACCCAGTTACCCCATCCCCCCCACCTCCCCTCCAGCAACCCTTGTAGATATATTTTAAACAAAACAAAACAAAAAGGAACCGTAGTGTGCGTAATATTGCGCTACTTGCTCTTCCACTTAAGAACACAGGCATACTTTGGAGATATCGTGGGTTCAGTTCAGGACCAACACAATAAAGTGATTATTACAATAAAGCAAGTCGAATTAATTTTTTGGTTTCCCAGTGCATATCAAAGTTATGTTCACTGTAGTCACTTAAGTGTGCGATAGCAGTATGTCTTAAAAAATCCAATGTATATTCCTTTTTTAAAATTTAACTTAATTTTATTATGTTATGTTAGTCACCATACAGTATGTCATTAGTTTTTGATGTGGTGATCCACGATTCATTGTTTGTGTATAACACCCAGTGCTCCATGCAATACATGCCCTCCTTAATACCCATCACCGGGCTAACCCAGCCCCTAACCCCCCTCCCCTCTAAAACCCTCAGTTTGTTTCTTGGAGTCCTTAGTCTCTCATGGTTCATCAATGTATATACCTTAATTAAAAAAATATTTTTTCTGCTAAAAAATGCCAACCAGCATCTGAGCTTTCAGGGAATTGTAATGTGATCACCATCACAAACATAATAATAATAATGAAAAAGTCTGAAATATTGCCAGAATTACCAAAATGTGACATGGAGACAAAGCGAGCAAACACTGTTGGAAAAATGGCGCTGACAGACTTGGTTGACATAGGGTTGTCGCAAATCTTCAATCTGTAAAAACACGGTATCTGTGAAGCACAATAAAGCCAAGTGCAATAAAATGGGGTATGTCTGTATGTCTACTGCTGTTTAACAAATTACCCCAAAACTCAGCAGCTTGGAGCAACAAACTTATCATCTCGAGTGGTGTGAGGGTCAGGAGCCCCTAGAATGGCTCAGCCGGTGGTTCAGGCTCAGGGACTCTCATAAGATTCCAGCCAAGATCTCAACCAGGGCTTCAGTCACTCGAAGGCTTGGCTGGGATGGAAAGATGTGCCTTCAAGACGACTCACTCGCTCGGCTATTTCCTGGAGGCCTGGGTTCCTCGCCAAGTGGATTTTTACCAACATGGCGGCAGGCTTTCCCCACCCAGGAGAGAGCAGGAACAAGGCAGAAACCACACTGTCTTTTTTTTTTTTTAAGATAGCTTTTTGAGATATTCATCTACCATACAATTCACCCATTCAAAGTATATGAGTCAATGTTTCAGTATATTCATAGGGTTGTGCCAATGTCACCATGACCTCGGTCAGGAACTTTCCAGTACTCCAAACAGAATGCAGTCACTGCCCACTCCCTCCTCTTCTCACCTCCCTGGTAACCACTGTCTATCTTCTGCCTGTGTAAACTTGCCTATTCTGGACATTTTGTATAATGGAATCACATAACATGTGGCCTTTTGTGTCTGGCCTCTTTCACTTAGCATAATGTTTTCAAGGGTCATCCCTGTTCTAGCATTTATCAGTATTCTCTCTCTCTCTTTTTTGGTTTTATATGCCTCTTTATTAAAAAACAAAAACATCCCAAATCCCACATTGTGCAGGACCCAGAACATGAAAAGGTATTTAAGAAACAGGCCTACTGTTCTCATCCCTTGACATATTTTCCTTGTCAGGATCAGTCAGGGGAAGGGCTGAGTTCTCATGACTGGACAGGCTGGAACTGCATGGAGATTCCCGCCCCCTCCAGTCTGATGGCATGTTCTGGAGACATCCCTCCCTCTGCATCAGCATCAGCCCCTGTGCTTGGAGAATAGCTCTGCTGTGGGATCCCCATGTCAGAACAGCAGTTGCGTGGGTCTGGGGAGGGCTCAGAGATTCCCAGGTCTGCGAGAATGAAGTGAGTTCTTTGTCTTGGACTTCATCTGACTCCCAGTGAGTTGACTTTATGGAGTGATCCACTGCAAAGCCAGCAACAAAGAAGCCTCGGTCTGCTTGGGCAGGTACAAAGCTGGATGTAACCAGAAACTTCTTCCCCTGGGTTTTGCAAACATTTTCCCTCATTTAGTCCTGCCTCCAGCAGTATCTCCTTTTTACTGCTGAATACTATTCATTCTATGCATAACATTTGGTTTATCCATTCATCAGATGACGGACATTGGGTTGTTGGCACTTTTTGGCTAACGTGAATATGCCGCTATGAACATTCATGTACGTGTTTTTGTGTGGACACTTATTTTCATTTCTCTTGGGTATAGATGGGAGAGGAACTGCTGAGTCATATGGTAACTCTATGTTTAACATTTGGGGAACTGCCTGTTTTCCAAACTGGCCGCACCATTTTACATTCCCATCAGCAGTGTACGAGGGTTCTGAGTTTTCCACATCTTGGCCGACACTTGTGAACTGGGGTTTTCAGTGTAGCCATCCTGGTGGGTATGAAGCAGTGGTTTTGATTTGCATTTCCCTCATGATTAATGGCGCTGAACAACTTGTAATGTGCTTATCGGCCATTTCTCTTGAGAAATGTTTACTCAGATTCTTCACCCATTTATAAAACTGGGTTGTTCTTTTTATTATTAAGTTGTATGAGTTTTTTTTAATAGTTTTTTT